TATGAAATCTAGAATTCTCATTTCTATGTGCCTCCTAAATGAAAAAAAAGGGGGGGGGAAGTAGTTATTATAAATTGACTTGAAAAGTGGAAATCGTCCTGGTGTATCTTTCCTTGTATTCATGACATTTTTTTTTTTTTGACAGGTAGAGTGGACAGTGAGAGAGAGAGACAGAGAGAAAGGTCTTCCTTTTGCCGTTGGTTCACCCTCCAATGGCCGCCGCGGCCAGCGCGATGTGGCCGGCGCACCGCCCTGATCTGAAGGCAGGAGCCAGGTGCTTCTCCTGGTTTCCCATGGGATGCAGGGCCCAAGTACTTGGGCCATCCTCCACTGCACTCCCTGGCCACAGCAGAGAGCTGGCCTGGAAGAGGGGCAACGGGGACAGAATCCGGCGCCCCAACCGGAACTAGAACCCGGTGTGCCAGCGCCGCAAGGTGGAGGATTAGCCTAGTGAGCCGCGGCACCAGCCCATGACATTTTCATTCAGGTACACGTCATCCAATCTTATAAAATGACTGTTGTTAACAACTGAATTCCATTGCATTGTGTCATTCGAGATAACTGTTGTAACAATCTTTAATATTTTATAAGAAAATGCAAAATGGCACTGATATTTAGGTTTTGAATATTTTATTTCTTTTTTTTTAAAGATTTATTTTATTTATTTGAAAGACAGAGTTACAGAGAGAGGTAAAGACAGAGAGAGAGGTCTTCCATCTGCTGGTTCACAACGGCCGGAGCTGAGCTGATCCGAAACCAGGAGCCAGGAGCTTCTTCCGGGTCTCCTACCTGGGTGCAGGGGCCCAAGGACCTGGGCCATATCCTACTGCTTTCCCAGGCCACAGCAGAGAGCTGTATCGGAAGTGGAGCAGCCGGGACTAGAACAGGCACCCATAAGGGATGTCAGTGCTTCAGCCCAGGGCTTTAACCTGCTGCTCCACAGCGCTGGCCCCATTTCTGCAGGGAGCAAAACAATTCTTCAGAGATGAAAACTCAAAGGGGATAGGGAAGAGTGCAATTTATAGTATATATCAAAGACATTGCTATTGCTTATTTTAATTTTTTTTTATTTGAGAGGCAGAGTGACAGAGGGAGAGGGAGGGATAATCAAAGGAAGACATCTTCCATTCATTGGTTCACTCCCGAGATAGACACAACAGCCAGGGCTGGGACAGGCTAAAGTCGAGATCCCAGAACTCCATCCAGATCTCCCACATAGGTGGCAGTGGCCCAGAGAACTTTGGCTATCTCTGCTGCCCTGCCAGTTGCCTTGGTAGGGAGTTTGAACTAGCAATCTGATATGGGATTCCAGCATCACAAGTGGTGGTTCAAACTGCTGTACCACAAAGCTGACCTCATTTCTGTTTTTGAAATCATTAAAGAGAAAGATTAATATTTGGAATTCAAAAAAGGTTTCAGATAGTGCTGTAAGTTTCAGAGGGGCAAAATTCAAAATGCAATAGTTATGAAAATGTAACTATAGTGATATAGTGTGATTTGTTTATAGGGTTCTATAAAATCAAATTATAAAGAATGGTTGAAATGAACTGAAATATTGAAATATTGCTGTTATCTCTTTTTCAAATTCACCATTTTCTTCATTTCTTGAGTTAAATTATAATACTCCAGAGTTTTTAACTCAGTGATTTTCTTTTCTTTTCTTTTTTCTTTCTTTTTCTTTTTCTTTTTTTTTTTTTTTTTTGACAGGCTGGGTGGACAGTGAGAGAGAGAGAGAGAGAAAGGTCTTCCTTTGACGTTGGTTCACCCACCAAATGGCTGCTGCGGCTGGCCCACCGTGCTGATCAGAAGCTAGGAACCAGGTGCTTCCTCCTGGTCTCCCATGCGGGTGCAGGGCCCAAGGACTTGGGCCATCCTCCACTGCCTTCCCCGGGCCACAGTAGAGAGCTGGCCTGGAAGAGGAGTAATCGGGACAGAATCCGGCGCCCCGGACTGGGACTAGAACCCGGGGTGCTGGCGCCGCAGGCAGAGGATTAGCCTATTCAGCCGCGGCGCCGGCCTGACTCAGTGATTTTCTTTAATTGCTCCTTCTCATCCACAAACCTTGAAATAAAGTTATTTTTAAAAGTCTAACTCTTCTTGCTTAAAAAAATTATTTCATGAGAGTTCATGAGTAATATGTTGTAAAATGCAAACAGATTTGAAAAATGACTTTTCTTAAAACAATCCAAAACAGATTCACATTTTCTCATTATCTTTTCTGGAATTTAACTACAAAATTTGTGAAAAATAGAAAACTTTACAAATAAAATACTAAGCATTAATATACTTACTTGACTTCAGGATGGGACAAATACACTCATTGTAAGAATTCTTCCATAGGTTTCAACATTGTAGTTTTGTAAATATCTCTGAGTAAAGATTAAGCCTTCACTTTGAAATACAAAGACATAATTTCCCACATCCTTGGGGTATTTCTATCATCCTGTTTTTCTCCTTTTTATCGTACTCTAATATTCTAAAATGCATGTATATTCCACAGGTCTAACTTTTTGTCATTTTTTTTTGTTTTAACTTAAAACTTGACTTTCAATCCCATAATTTCAATGAAGAAACCTTGAGGGTCACCATGGACCCTTTTCTGAGTCCTTATCCTGCTTCAGTTCTCAGTAGTAACCACTCCTAGTGACCACACCTTCCCCTCTGCTCCTCTAACAAATGCGGCCACCCTGGAATTTTTCTATTGCTCTTCATAAACTCTCTCAGCATTCCTTAAATAGCAAGGCTTCAACCCAGATTGCTTAAAAAATATTTCCAGCCCGATCATTTTATTGAGGTATTTTATACTTTTAACTCCCTCTCCTAGTTTGCTTCTCATATGTCTATTATCAACCAGTCATAAAACATTACTTGGAATGGATTACTTGTGTAAAGTTAATTCTGTGTATTTTATGTTGATTCGTGGGTGTGTTTAACTGAATGTGGTGTTTTCTAATATTGAGGGGTGTGGGGAGCAACCCGGACTAGACTGAGTTACTGGAATTAAGACTTATTCTATGCATCTGCTCTCCCACAATATGGCGCTGGGAGAGAAGTAAACAGCTTCCGCGCAGCTGCCTCCAGTTCAACCAATTAACTGTAGGACTTGCTCCTGATTGGAGAGCAGCGTACTCGGCGTGTGGGCAGCCAAGTTAGGATTGGCGGAGGAGGACTATAAAGGAGGAGAGAGACGGCATGCACCAGGAACATCTAAGGAGAACATCTAGCTGAAGGAACACCTGTGCAGCCCCCGAGACGAGCCGGCCGGCGGTGTGCCGCTCCCCTGCGGAAGTGGGGAATGTGGCCAGGGGGAACTGCCCTTCCACGGAGGTGGAAGGGATAGTAGCCAGCCCGGGAAGAACCAGCAGCAAACCCGGGGAGGGCCGAGCGGACGAAAGAACAGCGCAGGGTCCTGTGTCGTTCCTCCACGAAGAGGGGGAGCGACAGAGGGGGTACCCTGATAACCCATAGAATGTGACCAGTATACTTTGTACAAATTATCTAATACAAAACTTCTGACAAGGGTCACATCATCGTTTGCTTCTGTTTTCTTTTGGAAAATTCCCTCTTCCATAGAGACATGACCTTGTGGAAATCTTCTGAAGTCCCTTCAGGTACACACTCAACTACATTATTTGGAGGTTTGAATCACCTGGCGTTATCTCTTATTCCCAATCCATATTCTTCACTTTAAAATTGTGTTCATCAACCACATTAATCCAGGTAAACTCTGCTGTAGGGATTCATGAGATAAGAACTTTCTGGAAAAGAGGCTATTGATTTAGTTGAATGCTATTTTGTATTAAATTTTTTTTTCAAAGTGTAGACTTCAAAGTAAATAAATATAAGCCATATTACTAATTCATTCTCACGTGAATCTACAGAAAATCCTTCATTATTTTAGACAAGTTTAATTTGGTGTTGGGACACCTACATTTTTTTTAATTTGAATACCATAATATATTTCTGTATGACACTTCTATAAAGGTATGTCTCCTGGAACTTTCATTCACAAAAGACTCCTTTACAATACAAAGTCATGATACATGGTTGGAAAGTATGCTAAAAAATCAGGTTGACACAGAGTCTAGAAAAAAAAGTTTTTAATATTTCTTCCCTTATGAGAAATACTAGTTAAAAATGTTCTAGTTGTTCAAACAGCTTTCTTTACACAGTGCAGTCACAGTCATTGGGACTGAAAGAAACTAATTAGTGAAGCAAATATTTCATTGTGCCAATTTAGTGTTAACATGCATGAGTGATAGGAGAATCCTGTTTTCTTAATTACATAATTACATAGTTTCCACTATACATTGAGAAATAAGTATCATGGATTACACATGAATATTTTATAAGATTGAACTAAGTCCTTTAAAGGCTAAAAAGCATGTATTTATGGAAAAATTAATTTCTGAACTTGAAATGCTAAGAGCATTATGTTTGGGGGAATATCTACTTATTCACTGACATCTCCCTTATCTTTTTCTGGTTTTTTTTTTTTTTTTTAATTCTTTTGGGTGAAAAATGTTATATAATAACCTGGTTTCCATTAGTGAAGGATTTCAACACCTAACACAATTCATTCAGAAAATCTCACTGAAAGCATTTCAGACTTTCAGGAAAGATTTTTTGAAAATATAAATATTACCAAGGATTCAAACAGAAAGTTATATTTCATTGCCCATAGCAATATAATTCATAGAAGTCAAAGGGTAAAAATAATTAAAATCTTCATAAGTGGATGAACAAATGTGTAGAATACACAAAATAGTGTTTTTAGACTATCATGGCTTTTAAAATATTACTACCAAAATAATTAATTTTATGAATTCAGTTGATTTCTTCTATAATATCAATATGACAAGCATTACAAATAGAAAAAATAAATAAATATAATAAATACTTGTATTAGAGGCCTTTCATATTATCTAAAATATCCTTATACAAAACTATGATAGAAATAAATACTTTTTAATATGTCAGAATTGAAGAGATTGACTTACTGAACTTGGATTTAACAGGTTTTGCTGAATCTGTTTTATTTTGTCTGCCTGTTCTTTGATTGTAAGTTTTAACTGAGAATTTTCACTTTCAAGCCTGAAATGTATATTTTAAATAATTATTCTCATGTATAAATATAAACACAGCCACATAATTTCTGAACATCTGATAATTACATTTAAGAATTAATTAGATTAATTCTTAAATATTTTAAAAGTAAATAATTCAGCAACTGTACCATTTTTTCTACCTGTGTTTTCTGGATAAATACAAATTTAGGGATATATGGAAAACTGTGCATCTTAAAATGACTTAAAGCTGAAATTTTTCCCTGGTTTCACATAGATGTACATATTATCGTAGCTGATACAATTCCCATACTACACTTCTTATTTTTTTAATAAATACTCAAGCTATTCGGTGTGCTAATTTTTTTATTTTTGAAAAAAAATTTATTAAATTCATAATTAATAGTATTAATTTGATAGTAGATTTTTAGGAGTTATAAGCATTTTAGTGATATAAACATTTTCATGTTATAAGCAAAAGAAGGCAGGAAACAAAATCCCATATGGGGGCCAGGTTCTAGTCCCGGTTGCTCCTCTTCCAGTCCAGCTCTTTGCCGTGGCCCGGGAAGGCAGTGGAGGATGGCCCAAGTGCTTGGGCCCCTGCACCCACATGGGAGACCGGGAGAAGGCACCTGGCTCCTGGCTTCGGATTGGCGTAGCTCCAGCCATTGCGGCCATTTGTGGGGTGAACCAATGGAAGGAAGACCTTTCTCTCTGTCTCTCTCTCTCACTGTCTAACTCTACCTGTCAATAAAAAAAAAAAAAGAAAAAATTCCATGTACATAATGCCTTTGATGACTTCAACAAAAGCACTAAGAAAGTCTTTTAAGAAAAACAATTTTGTTTATGATGTATATTTTATACTAAGCACAGAAGTCTATGGGTATGAATACTAATTTTTGTATCTAGAGAACACTAGCAATATTACAAAGATTTTTCTTAGCTTTAAGTCACAAGATCAGTCTAATTCATGAGCCAAAACTAAATTCCAAATGAATTACTTATTTATATTGAATATAACAGCACTGCTTTTACAAAGGTTACTACATTTTAAAAAAGTCATGGTCATCATAAAGCTAGATGACCAATGTAACTGCAGAATGTCTGTAACTGTGTAAATATTTATAATTTGAATTGCCTGGTGACCATAATGAGAAATGTTAAATTTTATGGGCAGAAATGTGTACTTTTAAAAATGTCTATTATGAGCAAAATTTTGAAAGATAATTTCCTGGATGCATTTCTAAAACTTCTTTTGATATTACAGGAAATACGTAACTTTTTTTTTATCACTATCTTGAATTTAAAAAAATCTTTTTAAATTTTATTTAAGGTATACGAATTTCACGTAATGCTAATTTAAATTTTACTTTTCCAAGTGATCTTACCTCTTCATAGCTTCTTGCACAATGTTGCGATTCTGTGTTTCTTGCAACTAAAACAAAGCAGGAGGGGAAGAACTTTACTAATAATTTGGTTTAAATCTACTCATTGCTTATAGTTTTCATAAAATTCCCTCCAAACAGAGCCACAGTTTTATCTGCATATTGTTCAGAGCTGAGCTGTTGCAGCAGTGATCTTCTGGCACAGGACCTACAATAATAATCCTTAGTCCTCCACAGTAACATCAAGACCCTGCTCTAGGGCTAAAGCACAACATTAGTCTTGTCTTAAAATTATAATTTGTCAGATAAATACGCAAAGAAACAACATTGATCAACTGGAGAAAGATAGGAAATTATCTTGTGTGGTAAGCAATTATATATTTATGATCCAGCACCACCATATCAAGTATAATTTTCAAAATTCACATATATGAATGATAAGTTATGCCAAGGATTTTAAAATTCACATAATATTTTAGATGACAACCACATGATCTTTGTCTTTGGAACTGCATAAGAAGAATTATCTACCCAGAAGCCAGAATGCCATGGTATAAACCACAGCTCCACAAATTATCAGCTGTGTTGTGTGATCATAAGTAAATGAATGTTGGATGTCTCTGGTTTTTTTTTTTTTTTCAGCTGTATAGTGAAATATACAGTATGGAGATAGGAACAGTACTCACCACATTGGAATGCAGGGAAAAATAAATTTGTGAATAATGGTAAAGTGCTTAGAAGAGTATGCGGTACATAATGACCTGTATTTTCCATTTCCAACATTATGGATTTCACATTTTAGTATATCTGGCATGGCAGGGAGATTTGGCTCCTATACAAGTTTCACTGAAATGTTCTTCACATTATTGAGACTGGCAGCAAATGGGGAGCATGAAGCCCAGGACACACCCCCAGGACTTCATAAAACTTTCACCTATTATATTAGACAATAGTATTTTTTCCAATTATAATGTATAGCTTGGTCAGTACCCTTCAGTGGGAAATTATTATGTCCCATGTTGCAAACAGCATTTTGGATGTAGTAGTACATAAATTACATGACTAGCAGAGACAGGCTAAGCCACTGAACTGAAAACACTGAACTCTATGGTTATATCAACATTCCCAAATCAGTTCCTCCATGACACCTGTTTATGGGGTGTTTGGAGCAAGCACTCTGATGAGTGGATTAAGAGTACATATGGCATACTGGAAAAGATAGTGCCAGGTCTCTGTACTGACTAAATTGCTATAAAGGTATAAACCCCAGTATTGAATATATAATAAATGAAATAAATTTTAGGTATTTTTGATATCTAAATTTTATTAGTATTTGATAAAAAATTATCTTTTGCTAGGATTAAGTGCTTTTAATTTTGCATGTAACTGCTTAAAATACATTGTTTTATCCTAAAACTTAATTTATAATATTCATGTAAATATGTCAAAGAACAGATAAGTTTCGGAAATTTCCCTCAAAAATAGCTCAAACTAACTGCATAAATAACTGCTAAATCAGGCAGGCGTTGGAGTGAGTGCGCGGAGGAGGTTGGTAAGACCGCTGCAAGGCGGGTGATGCTGCCGGTGCTGTGGCTGGGGCGGACAGTGGTGGGACTCTCGGGGTCCCTGGTGAATCCTGCGTGTCTGCAGCTGGTTGGAGATGCCCGGCCAGGGTGTGCACCCAGAGGACAGCGCTGTGCCGGTCCCCGCCGGCGGCCCGACCCTACACAAGGAGGATCTTTGCAACAAGATTAAAGAACAAAAAGTTGTTGTGGATGAACTTTCTAACCTGAAGAAGAACAGGAGAGTATACAGGCAACAGCAGAACAGCAATATATTCTTTCTGGCAGACCGCACAGAGTGCTTTCTGAAAGCAAGAATATATTGGATGAATTGAAAAAAGAATACCAAGAAATAAAAATTCTGAGAAGACCAGTATCAAGAAATAGTCAACCTGATTTCACATCATCATGTGTGGCATTTGCTGTTCTGTAAGCTTTTCTGTTGAACACTGGAGAAAAGATTTGAAAGAAGATCTACTATATAATCTTAAACGTCGGGGTCCTGAGAGCAGTAAACAGTTGTTAAAATGTTATATGAACTACCAGTGTGTGTTTTCTGGCCATGTCCTTCACTTGAGGGGTGTTTTGACTGCCCAGCCTATGGAAGATGAAAGAGGCAATGTGTTCCTATGGAATGGAGAAGTCTTTAGTGGAATAAAGGTTGAAGAAATAGAGAATGATACTCTTTCCTCTTGTAAGAGTGAATCTGATATTATGTCCCTCTTCTCAGAAGTCCAAGGTCCTTGGTCTTTTATATATTATCAAGCATCTAGTCACAGTTTATGGTTTGGTAGGGATTTTTTTGGTTGCCATAGTTTGCTTTGGCATTTTAATAATTTGGACAAGAGTTTCTGCCTCTCTTCAGTTGGCCCCCAGACATATGGAGTGGCAAATCAGTGGCAAGAAGTTCCAGCATCTGGAATTTTCAGAATTGATCTCCAGTCTGCTGCCATGGCCAAACATGTAAGGTTGCAGTTGTATCCTTGGGAATGTATTTCTAGGGAGAATGCTACTGAAGAGTGCAGTACCAGCCTGACTCATGTTTCAGCAGACTTGCCGACATTTGTATCAGTGGTGGCAAATGAAGCCAAACTACATCTTGGAACGCCTATTTCTCCTTTAAATATGACGTTGCCACAAGCTCCATTGGCGACTCATTGCAGTCACATTTCCAGTATCCCATTCTCAAGAGAGACCCTTCAGGTCTGCCTTACTGATGGACACATGAGAGAAGTAGTTGAAAAGTTCATTGATGTCCTTAGTGTCGCAGTCAAGAGACGTGTCTTGTGTCTACAGAGGGACGAAAACCTGGTACCAAATGGAGTTTTGAAGACGGGTGATAGGAAAGCAAATGTTGCCGTCCTGTTTTCTGGAGGCATCGATTCCATGGTTATTGCTACCCTTGCTGATCGTCATATTCCTTTAGGTGAACCAGTTGATCTCCTGAATGTAGCTTTCATGACCAAAGAAAAGACCGTTCCAAGTAGCCGTAACAAAAGACCGAGTAAACAGAAAAATCATGAAATGCCTTCTGAGGAGTTCTCTGTAGGTACTGCTGCCCGTGGTGCTGATAGTCCTGATGAGAAATACAGTGTACCAGATAGAGTCACAGGAAAGGCAGGACTAAAGGAACTGCAAGCTGTTAACCCTTCTCGAATGTGGAATTTTGTTGAAATTAATGTTTCTCTGGAAGAACTGCAACAATTAAGAAGAACTCAAATAAGTCACTTAGTTCAGCCCCTGGATACGGTTTTGGATGATAGCATTGGCTGTGCAGTCTGGTTTGCTTCCAGAGGAACTGGCTGGCTAGTGACTCAGGATGAAGTGAAGTCCTATCAGAGCAGTGCAAAGGTAGTTCTCACTGGAATTGGTGCAGATGAGCAACTTGCAGGTTATTCCCGTCATCGTGTTCACTTCCGTACGCATGGACCGGGAGGACTGAACAAGGAAATAACGATGGAACTGGGTCGAATTTCTTCTAGAAACCTTGGTCGTGATGACAGAGTAATTGGTGATCATGGAAAAGAAGCAAGATTTCCCTTCCTGAATGAAAATGTTGTCTCCTTTCTAAATTCCCTACCCATCTGGGAAAAGGCAAACCTGACTCTACCCCGAGGAATTGGTGAGAAACTAATTTTACGTCTGGCAGCTGTGGAACTCGGCCTTACAGCCTCTGCTCTCCTGCCAAAGTGGGCCATGCAGTTTGGATCCAGAATTGCAAAGATGGAAAACAGTAATGAAAAGGCATCTGATAAGTGTGGAAGGCTCCAGATTATTTCCTTATAAAACCTTTCTTTTGAAAAGGAAGTTAAATTGTAATGTGATTTCAGAGTGTTAACAGTATTTACTGAATGACAGTTATATAAAAATAAAATATCTAGCTGCTTTAAAAAAATAACTGCTAAATCAATCAAAGAGCAAAAAGTTTTTAAATACATGCAAGTGGGCTGGCATTGTGGCACAGTAAGCTAAGCAATGCCGGCATCACTTATTGTAGTGTTACTTCCAGGCCCAGCTGCTCTGCTTCTGTTTACAGTTCCCTGCCAAAGTGCCTGGGAAGGCACTGGAGGATGGCCCAAGTACTTGGGCTCCTGTTATCCACATGGGGGATCCTGGTGGAGTTCTAGGCTCCTGGCTTCGGTCTGGACCAGCCCCAGGGAATGTGAACATTTGGATAGTGAAATTAGTAGATGATTTCTACTCTCCCCTTCTCTATCACTCTGCCTTTCAAATCAATCAATCAATAAGTCATAAAATAAATAAATACAAGTAGGTATGAAATATGAAATTAGAAATAATATGCCATTACAAAATATTTAACTAGTTTCACAATAGTCTCAGAAGTATGTCTGAATTTTAATATAAAATATGAGATAATTCAACTTATTTTCCATTGCTTTATTCATAAAAAATGTACTAAGCTTTATCAGTGCAAGATTTACAATAAATAATTTGAGCTATAAACTTCATAATTCATTTTAAGATGATAGAACATTTTTGTTTTAAATCTAAATAATACATTTTAAATAGGGGGCTATTATAAGTAATAAAGAATACAACTAGAAATACTAACATCTACCAGATTCATTTACCTGATTCAAATTACTTCTTACAGTCCTCAATTTCATTTCTAATGTTTTAAGTGTCAGTTCAAGTTGTCCTTTCATTTCAACTTCTTTACTATATTGCTTTTCTTTTCTTTTTAACTCTTCCCCAATTTTTTCAGACAATATATCAGCATTTCTTCTCTTTTCTTTTTCTTTCTTTAATGTAAATCTGCAGTTAAATATGGTTATCTTAAAATTAATTTTGTTAGAAAATAAAAAATTAAATTTGTGATTTGGTCTCTAATATGCTGGAATATTATCTTAATTTAATTTCTATGTTCTCAAATATTTTTTCTACTGATTTGCATGTTTGAATTTCTCATTTTACTCTCTCCCAAATAACAAATATACTTGAAAAGTAGTGATGAAAGAACATCCCAATAACTGATCAGTTTCCTTTATTAGTATCTGAGGTATATATTAAAATTATTCAGCAAAATTATAAATTAAAAATTATCTTTAAAATATTATTACTGCCTAATTAAGATAGATAATTTAGAGTTGACTAATATTAATATTTTGAATGTTATATATTCATTAGAAATAAGATCTCATTCTCATGAAATATTTCAAGTATCCTTGAAAATTATTCACAAAATAAGACAGAACCATCCAATGTCTTTCACACAACATATATCTGCAGAGTACTATAACCCATAACTAAAGAAAATATCCAGGGACCGGTGCTGTGGCACAGCAGGTTAATGCCCTGGCCTGAAGCGCCAGCATCCCAGATAGGCGCCGGTTCTAGTCTTGGCTGCTCCTCTTCTGATCCAGCTCTCTGCTATGGCCTGGGAAAGCAGTAGAAGATGGCTCAAGTCCTTGGGCCCCTGCACCCGCGTAGGAGACCCGGAAGAAGCTCCGGGCTCCTGGCTTCGGATGGGCTCAACCCTGGCCGTTGCAGCCATCTGGGGAGTGAACCAGCGGATGGAAGACCTCTCTCTCTGTCTCTACTTCTCTCTGTAACTCTGTCTTTCAAATAAATAAAATAAATCTTTAAAAAAAGAGAAAATATCTGTTACCATACACATACACATTTTATATTGCTTTTTTGGTAATACTTATTTTATTATCTTGTTGACTATTATGAATTTTATGAACAGTTTTAAAATGGATTAAGATAGTACCTAATGTTGATTAAGGAAGATTAGCAAGGCTTTTAAAATAGAACTTTGAATGAATTTTATCTGTGTATGAAAATATTTCATTTTGCTTTTTATTCAAATTAAGAATAAAACAGGGGCGGGCGCTGGGCATAGTGGGTAAAGCTGCCACCTGCAGTGCTGGCATCCCTAATGGGAGCTGGTTCGAGTCCCAGCTGCTCTACTTCCAATCCAGGTCTCTGCTATGGCCTGGGAAAGCAACAGAAGATAGCCCAACTCTTGGGCCCCTGCGCCCACGTAGGAGACCTGGAAGAAGCTCCTGGCTTCAGATCAACACAGCTCTGGCAATTGAGGCCACCTGGGGAGTGAACCAGCCGCTAGAAGACCTCTCTCTCTCTCTCTGCCTCTGCCTCTCTGTAACTCTCTGCCTTTCAAATAAATAAATAAATAAATCTTCAAAAAAAGAATAAAACAATGACTTCAAAAAGTATTATGGGTTTAGAAAATGGTCATTTGAAACTCTGTTGTTGGAACTGTAAATGGGTATAAACTTTCTTGAGAACAATTTAGGAACATTAAAGAATTTTTTCAAAGGTTTCTGTCTGACAAACACATATACAGAAGAATTTACCCAAGATAATTAGAAATATAAGAGAAGATTTATATAAAATATGTTCCTTGGGGGAATTATCATATACTGTAAAATGGAAGTACTGAAAATTAAATTTGTTAAAAAATAATGAAATTTCCATACTGTGGACACCTATGTAGCCATTAAAATTATGGTTTGAAAAATAAGTATTTAGTTATCACTTATGAATTTGATATATGTTCTTTCCAAGAATTTCTCATCCCACAAGACTAAAAAAGTTTTCCCTTGTAAAAATCTCTGACAGTGTGACAGCAACTTGAATCCTCCCATGCACCTTCAGTACAAAGTAAATAGTTCAGGGCTGAGCATTTTACATAGCAGTTAAGACGCTTGTGTGCCATACTGCAGTTATCTGGGTCCAGTTGCTGGCTCTGATTTCTGACTCCAGCTTCCTGTCAATGCAGATTCTGGAAGACAATGGTTATGACTTGAGTAACTGGGGTTCTTGCCACCCAGATGAAAGTCCTAGCTACTGGCACTGGCCTTTTTCTTGCCCCAGGCCTTTGCAGGCAATTTTTCTTTTCTTTTTTTTCTTAAAAATTTTATTTAAGACACACAAATTTCATGTATTTCATGTATACAGATTTAGGAACATAGTGATATGAGTTTACCAGCCAATGGGATCTCTCACACTCTATATCAAATTAATAAAAGTTTTAAACTATACAGTTTTAATATTTCCTTAAAAGAACGATGTCATACCTCAAACTGCAGCATTCTTGTTCCCTTTCTACTGTTTGGCGCTTCAACTGTGTTTTCTCTTCTGTTATTTCTGAGAGTTGTTTTTGTAGTCTACTGACCTTATTTTCCATATACCTAATTTTTCCTATCAGCAGTCTACAGTGACTTTTTTTAAATTCTATTACTCTTTCATATGAAAGTACAGCATCTTGGATTTTCAATAGGCTGACAGAATCTAGTGTAAGGGAGAAAGGAAGATAGAAATAAATTATAAGATTTTTGCACATAAACTTTAATTCAATTTCACATTCACTCATTCATGTACTTAACAAAATCTGTATTGCATGTCTGTAATGTAAGATATTATGTTGGGCTCTTCAGATAAAATAGATAAGATACCTGTTCTTATTTAGTTAAAGTCTAGTGGAGAAGAAAAAAAATAAAACTACAACTCCACATTCAGATAAATGTTGTAGGAAATATAATTCTTTAGTCACATTATACAATTTGATCTGCACTAGGCCCAGAGAAGAGAGTTCGCTGAGGAAGACATGGCTACCCTGAGAAATGAAAAATGAGAATAGAGCATCTAAGCAAAGGAAGAAGAAAACAGTCCAGTCAGTCTACCGCAAATGCTGGAGCTCAGCTGCAGTTTGTTTCTGGTCAAAATGGTTTGCCCTCCTACACAAAACAACAAAAAACAACAAAGAACATTAAATAGAAATTTTCAAGATAACAGTCATCAGACAATAAAGAAAATGATCCCTGAAGGACAGAGAACAAATGAAGCACATCTCAGAAATGTCCCAGCTCCATGCATGAAGAGATTCCAGGCCATCACACAGGCAGAGGAAAGGAAGGTAGAGTCCACCAGACTTCCTGAGTTGACATCATTAAACTGAGAGTCTTGAGACACCAAGGCAGTTGGATATCACGGTATACCAAAAGGAAAGGATAGTACTGAGAAAGAATGTTAGAGATCTGCAGAGACCCCATTCAGGTGTTTAGCAGAGCCATGAATATTGCATGTCTATCAGAGACCTTTCTCTCTGTCTCTCTCTCTCACTGTCTAACTCTGCCTGTCAAAAAAAAAAAAAAAAAGATAATGGGAAAATATATGAAAAGGTTAGAGGAAATTCTTCCTGGTACACATGGAATTCCACGAAAAGCATCCATTCCCATCAGTAAAACAGATAAATTTCTAAGTCATGGGACAATTAATAAAGTAATGAGAATGACTTTGTCTCAGGAGTGGGAAACTAGCTCTAGGCTGAACATGGTTCTGATCCACATATCAAAGTATAAAAGCAAGACTGAAAAGAAACTAATTGTTTATAAGGAACTCAACTGTATTATAAAACAAAGCTCAAGAAGATAAGTAGAGGCATGGAAGATTTTTATTAAAACCAAGTTACAGAAATATAAGCAGAAATTACAATATTTATTGTCATGATACTGGATGGAAACAAATACAAATAACACATATTAAATGAAAGAATATGGGTCCAGTGCTATGGCCTAACAGGTAGAACTGCTATCTGTAGCATCAGTATCCCATATGGGTGCCAGTTCATGTCCTGGCTTCTCTTCTTCCAATCCAGCTCTCTTCTATGGCCTGAAAAAAACAGAAGATAGCCCATGAGCTTTGGCCCCTGCACCCACATGGGAGACCCAGAAGAAGCTCCTGGCTCAGCTCCAGCCATTGGGGCCATTTGGGGAGTGAACCAGTGGATGGAAGACCTCTCTCTGTCTGTAACCCTACCTGTCAAAGAAATAAAATCTTTTTTAAAGAAAATATTGGTATTTTCTTGAGTAAAGAATACAAAATGGGCATAAGGACACTTTCGTGGGTGATGAGGTATGTTAAATATCTTGATACAGTGATGGTTTTGCATGTGTATACACAACTTAAAACATACAAATTTGGGCACTGTATAAATGTGGTGTCTCTTATACAGAAATTATACCTAAGTAAAGATAAGCAGGGAAAACCTCTATTTCAGCAATATACATGTAAGACAGTGGCTGGCCCATAGAAAGAGGCATATAAAATAGTATAGTATTAAGGCTAAAGGATTAAGATTCTTAACTTTACTGAAATGACAAGTGATACCTGAGTTCAAAGAAAGTGATAACATCACCAGATCTGATTTTTTGAGTGGATATAATTATTATATTTTAAAATTTTATTTAATAAATACAAATTTCCAAAGTACAGCTTATGGATTACAATGATTACAATGGCTTCCCCCCCCTTCATAACTTCCCTCCTACCCACAACCCTCCCATCTCCCGCTCCCTCTCCCCTTCCATTCACATCAAGATTCATTTTTAATTCTCTTTATATACAGAAGATCAGTTTAGTATATATTAAGTAAAGATTTCAACAGTTTGCACCCACATAGAAACACAAAGTATAAAATACTGTTTCAGTACTAGTTATAGCATTAATTCACAATGTACAACACATTAAGGACAGAGATCCTACATGAGGAATAAGTGCACAGTGACTCCTGTTGTTGACTTAACAAATTGACACTCCTGTTTATGGCATCAGTAATCTCCCTAGGCTCTTGTCATGAGTTGCCAAGGCTATGGACGTCTTTTGAGTTCGCCAACTCCAATCTTATTTGGACAAGGTCGTAGTCAAAGTGGAAGTTCTCTCCTCCCTTCAGAGAAAGGTACCTCCTTCTTTGATGGCCCCGTTCTTTCCACTGGGATCTCACTTGCAGAGATCTTTCATTTAGTGGTTTTTTGTTGTTTTTTTTTTTTTTTTTTTTTTTGCTAGAGTGTCTTGGCTTTCCATACCTAAAATACTCTCATGGGCTCTTCAGCCAGATCTGAATGCCTTAAGGGCTGATTTTGAGGCCATGTGCTGTTTAGGACATCTGCCATTCTATGAGTCTGCTGTGTATCCCACTTCCCATGTTGGATCATTCTCTTCCTTTTTTATTCTATCAGTTAGTATTTGCAGACACTAGTCTTGTTTATGTGATCCCTTTGACTCTTAGTCCAATCATTATGATCAATTGTGAACTGAAATTGATCACTTGGACTAGTGAGATGGCATTGGTACATACCACCTTGATGGGATTGAATTGGAATTCCCTGGCACATTTCTAACTCTACCATTTGGGGCAAGTATGATTGAATATGTGCCGAACTGTACATCTCCTCCCTCTCTTATTCTCACTCTTATATTCAACAGAAAACACTTTTCAGTTAAATTTCAATACCTAAGAATAAATGTGTGTTAATTAAAGAGTTCAACCAATAGTATTAAGTAGAACAAAAAAATACTAAAAGGGATAAAGTATTAAGTTGTTCATCAACAGTCAGGACAAGGGCAATCAAGTCACTGTTTCTCATAGTGTCCATTTCACTTCAACAGGTTTCCTTTTTGGTGCTCCATCAGTTGTCACCAATCAGGGAGAACATATGATATTTGTCCCTTTGGGACTGTCTTATTTCACTCAGCATGATGTGTTCCAGATTCCTCCATTTGGTTGCAAATGACTGGATTTCATTTTTTTTTTTTACTGATGTGTAGTAGTCTGTAGAGTACATATCCCATAATTTCTTTATCCATTCTACTGTTGATGGGCATTTAGGTTGATTCCATGTCTTAGCTATTGTGAATTGAGCTGCAATAAACATTGAGGTGCAGATAAAAATCTGGCTCTTTTATTTGCAATTTAATTTCCTTTGGGTAAATTCCAAGGAGTGGGATGGCTGGTTATATTCAGGTTTCTGAGGAATCTCCAGACTGACTTCCATGGTGGCTTTACCAGTTTGCATTCCCACCAACAGTGGGTTAGTGTCCCTTTTTCCCCACATCCTCGCCAGCATCTATTGTTGGTGGATTTCTGAATGTGAGCCATTTGAACCAGGGTGAGGTGAATCTCATTGTGGTTTTGATTTGCATTTCCCTGATGGCTAGTGATCCTGAACCTTTTTTCATGTGTCTGTTGGCCATTTGGATTTCCTCTTTTGAAAAATGTCTATTGAGGTCCTTGGCCCATCTCTTAAGTGGGTTGTTTGTTTTGATGTTGTGCAGTTTCTTGATCTCTTTGTAGATTCTGGTTATTAACCCTTTATCTGTTGCATAGTTTGCAAATATTTTTTCCCATTCTGTCAGTTGCCTCTTCACTTTCCTGACTGTTTCTTTTGCAGTACAGAAACTTCTCAATTTGATGCAATCCCAAATGTTAATTTTGGTTTTGACTGCCGGTGCTTCCGGGGTCTTTTCCAAGAAGTCTTTGCCTGTGCCAATATCTTGCAGGGTTTCTCCAATGTTCTCTAATAATTTGATGGTGTCAGGTCATAGATTTAGGTCTTTAATCTATTTTGAGTGGATTTTTGTGTAAGGTGAAAGGTAGGGGTCTTGCTTCATGGTTATGCACGTGGAAATCCAGTTTTCCCAGCACCATTTATTGAATACACTGTCCTTACTCCAGGGATTGGTTTTAGATCCTTGATCAAATATACGTTGGCTGTATATGTGTGGATTGGTTTCTGGTGTTTCTATTCTGTTCCATTGGTTTATCCATCTGTTTCTGTACCAGTCATGCTGTTTTAATTATAACTGCTCTGTAATATGTCCTGAAATTTGGTATTGTGGTGCCTCTGGCTTTGTTTTTGTTGTACAAGATTGCTTTAGCTATTCGAGGTCTCCTGTGTCTCCATATGAATTTCAGCATCACTTTTTCTAGATCTGAGAAGAATGTCTTTGGTATGTTGATTGGTATCACATTGAATCTATAAATTGCTTTCAGAAGAATGGACATTTTTATGATATTGATTTTCTAATCCATGAGCATGGAATATTTTTCCATTTTTTGGTATTCTCTTCTATTTCTTTCTTTAAGATTTTGTAATTCTCATCGCAGAGATCTTTAACGTCCTTGGTTAAGTTTATTCCAAGGTATTTGATTGTTTTGTGGCTATTGTGAATGGGATTGATCTTAGAAGTTCTTCCTCAGCCATGGTATTGCCTGTGCATACAAAGGCTGTTGATTTTTGTGCATTGATTTTATATCCTGCTACTTTGCCAAACTCTTCTATGAGTTCCAATAGTCTCTTAGTAGAGTTCTTTGGGTCCCCTAATAAAGAATCATATCATCTGCAAAGAGGGATAGTTTGACTTCTTCCTTCCCAATCTGTATTCCTTTAATTTTTTTTTCTTGCCTAATGGTTCTGGCTAAAACTTCCAGAACTATATTGAATTGCAGTGGTGAGAGTGGGCATCCCTGTCTGGTACCAGATCTCAGTGGAAATGCTTCCAACTTTTCCCCATTCAATAGGATGCTGGCTGTGGTTTTTTCATAAATTGCTTTGATTGTATTGAGGAATGTTCCTTCCATACCCAGTTTGCTTAGAGTTTTCATCATGAAAGGGTGTTGTATTTTGTTAAATGCTTTCTCTGCATCTATTGAGATAATCATATGGTTTTTCTTCTGCAGTCTGTTAATGTGGTGTATCACACTGATTGATTTGGGATCACTGAACCATCCCTGAATACCAGGGATAAACTGAATTATGGCTGCAGGCATGACCAATATTTTGGGAGAGGAGCAGGGAAGCAGGGCAAACATTTCTAAGGTTATTGTGTTATTCCAGGTGGGAGACGACAGTAATCTGACCATGGCTAAAAGCATAGAGGGAAAATCAACAAAAAATGCTGGGGGTACCATCCTCACTAAGAAAGCTACTATATGAATTTTCAATTTTTTTTGCTCTGAGTTTAGAGTATCTAACAGATTTCATTCAATTTTAATAAACAGTTTATTTCTGAGATGAACACCACTATAGTACATCAGTGCTGTATGTGCAGCGCTAAGCAATGTATGCGGATATTACTATAGTACACATAAAAGATCTTATGTTTATGCAAGAGTCTTACCTTTACAGTCCATTTGAAGTTTTTCAATTAGCAACAGAGTATTCTTAGGGTGAGGCCACTCATAATCCTCTGAGGCTATTTGCCATGACTGAGTTATTTCGTCATCTGTAGAATTTATCTGGCATTGTCCCTATAAGATAAATAACACTATTTCAAAATGTCCCTAAATACTTACACCATTACTTAAGTTTATAGATGTAGTAATTATCCATGTACTACATGAGAAAAACCACAAATACTTTTCAAAAAGACTGAGTTTTTATCAAAAGTATATTATTACCAAAGGTTACTGCCTCTTAATTACAATTGCAAAGTAAATATTCTTACAAAATTTCTCTTTTTTTCAATTTAACTTTTACAGCATATTTTGAAATTCAGGTTTTTGTAATATATCACTTTGTCTTTTATAATATATTTTTTCAGCACAATAATACATTTGATTATTTTGTGTAATACCTGTTCAATTCCCTGAGTCGTTTTCTTTGCAGGCCTAAAAAGAAATAATTCCTTTCAAAATACTACGTACAAAAAATATAAGGAATATATAAACTATTACATTTTATATAGCTTCATTTATTATCTTTTACATAGTACTATTCTATCCCTGAGTCGTTTTCTTTGCAGGCCTAAAAAAAATAATTCCTTTCAAAATATTATGTACAAAAAATATAAGGAATATATAAACTATTATATTTTATATAGCTTCATTTATTATCTTTCACATAGTACTATTCTACAATATAGATTAATTAACATTAAGAGTGATATGAAAGAAGAAAATATACTATCAATAGTATTATAGCAAATAATTCAACTTAGTTCAACTTTCTGACAGTGAAAATTAAACAAAAACATATTATTTGTATTTTTAAACATTTATTTATTTATTGGAAAGGGAAAGAGACAGAGAGACAGAGAGAGAGAGAGAGAGAGAGAGAGCGTGCATGAGAGAATGAGAGAGAGAGAATATATCTACATTTATTTGTTCATGTCCAAAATGGGCTGTGCCAGGCTTCAGCCAGAAGCCAGAAAATTTATTCAGGTCTCCCACATGGGAGACACTGACTTAAGTACTTGAGCCAACTTGGGCCACTTTCCAGGCACATTAGCAGGGAGCTGAATTAGAACTGAAGTACCCAGGACTCAAATAGGCACTCCAATATGGCATGTGCCCATGACCAGCAGCAACCTAACACACTGTATCACAAAACTCACTACTATTTGCATTATTTGATGGAAATAAACCAGGTTTTACTGTCATTATCACTTCAATAAAAGCAAGATTTCATAGCCACAAAATCCTATTTGCAGTCTTTCTGAGAGAACCCTTTTTTTTAAACTTTTATTTAATGAATATAAATTTCCGCCCGCAACCCTCCCCTTTTCCCTCTCCCTCCCCCCTTCCATTCACATCAAGATTCATTTTTAATTCTCTTTATATACAGAAGATCAGTTTAGCATATATTAAGTAAAGATTTCAACAGTTTGCACCCACATAGAAACACAAAGTGAAAAATACTGTTTCAGTGTACAAACTCACCATCCAGAAAACAGACTGTGCTTATAGAATTCAGATCTGGTATCAATGTCACCTGCCTGGATTGTGCTAAAACACAATTCAGCAAACACCAACTCCCTCAACCTTGATCGAACAGGCTTAAATAAAGCTTCTATTTTTCAGTTCTCTTTCACCCACTTTTTTTTTAACTTTTATTTAATGAATATAGATTTCCAAAGTACAGCTTATGGACTACATTGGCTCCCCCCACCCCGATGACTTCCCTCCCACCCGCAAACCTCCCCTTTCCTGCTCTCTCTCCCCTTCCATTCATATCAAGATTCATTTTCAATTTTCTATATATACAGAAGATCAGTTTAGTATACATTAGGTAAAGATTTCAACAGTTTGCACCCACATAGAAACATAAAGTGAAAAATATTGTTTGAGTACTCGTTATAGCATTAAATCTCAATGTACAGCACATTAAGGACAGAGATCCTCCATGAGGAGTAAGTGCACAGTGACTCCTGTTGTTGACTTAACAAATTGACACTCTTGTTTATGGCATCAGTAATCACCCTAGGCTCTTGTCATGAGCTGCCAAGGCTATGGACGCCTTTTGAGTTTGCCAACTCCAATCTTATTTAGACAAGGTCGTAGTCAAAGTGGAAGTTCTCTCCTCCCTTCAGAGAAAGGTACCTCCTTCTTTGATGACCTGTTCTTTCCACTGGGATCTCACTCACGGAGATCTTTCATTTAGGGTGTGTGTGTGTGTTTTTTTTTTTCCAGAGTGTTTTGCCTTTCCATGCCTGAAATACTCTCATGGGCTTTTCAGCCAGATCCGCATGTCTTAAGGGCTGATTCTGAGGCCAGAGTGCTGTTTAGGACATCTGCCATTCTATGGGTCTGCTGTGTATCTCGCTTCCCATGTTGGATCGTTCTCTCCCTTTTTTATTCTATCAGCTAGTATTTGCAGACACTAGTCTTGTTTATGTGCTCCCTTTGGCTCTTAGTCCTATCATTGTGATCAACTGTGAATAGAAATTGATCACTGGGACTAGTGAGATGGCATTGGTGCATGCCACCTTGATGGGATTGAATTGGAATCCCCTGGTATGTTTCTAACCCTACTGTTTGAGGTAAGTCAGCTTGAGCATGCCCCGAATTGCACATCTCTTCCCTCTCTTATTCCCACTCTTATATTTAACAGTGATCACTTTTCAGCTAAGTTTCAACACTTAAGAATAACTGTGTATTGATTACAGTATTCAACCTTTTGGTTTTTAATACTTTTGTATTAAGTAGAACAAACAAAAAAATACTAAGAGGGATAATGTATTAAGTTGTTCATCAACAGTCAGGGCAAGGGCTGATCAAGTTACCGTTTCTCATAGTGTTCATTTCACTTCACCAGGTTTCCTTTTTGGTGCTCAGTTAGTTGTCACCGATCAGGGAGAACATATGATATTTGTCCCTTTGGGACTGGCTTATTTCACTCAGCATAATGTTTTCCAAATTCCTAACAGGGATCAATTTTCAGTTAAAATTTAAACACCTAAGAATAATTGTGTGTTAATTACAGAGTTCAACCAATAGTACTAGAACAAAAAAAATTACTAAAATGGAAAAAGTATTACATTGTACATCAACAGTCAGGACAAGAGCTGATCAAGTCACTGTTTCTCATAATGTCCATTTCACTTCAACAAGTTTCCCCTTTGGTGCTCAGTTAGTTGTCGCCGATCAGGGAGAACATATGATATTTGTCCCTTTGGGACTGGCTTAATTCACTCAGCATGATGTTTTCCAAATTCCTCCATCTTGTTGCAAATGACCGGGTTTCATTGTTTTTGACTGCTGTATAGTGTATAGTATTCTATAGAGTACATGTCCCATAATTTCTTTATCCATTCTACTGTTGATGGGCATTTGGGTTGGTTCCAGGTCTTAGCTATTGTGGATTGAGCTGCAATAAACATTAATGTGCAAACAGCTTGTTTGTTTGCCAATTTAATTTCCTTTGGGTAAATTCCAAGGAGTGGGATGGCTGGGTTGAATGGTAGGGTTATATTCAGGTTTCTGAGGAATCTCCAGACTGACTTCCATAGTGGTTCAACCAGTTTGCATTCTCACCAACAGTGGGTTAGTGTCCCTTTTTCCCCACATCCTCGCCAGCATCTATTGTTGGTGGATTTCTGAATGTGAGCCATTTGAACCAGGGTAAGGTGAATCTCATTGTGGTTTTGATTTGCATTTCCCTGATGGCTAGTGATCTTGAACCTTTTTTCATGTGTCTGTTGGCCATTTGGATTTCCTCTTTTGAAAAATGTCTATTGAGGTCCTTGGCCCATCTCTTAAGTGGGTTGTTTGTTTTGATGTTGTGCAGTTTCTTGATCTCTTTGTAGATTCTGGTTATTAACCCTTTATCTGTTGCATAGTTTGCAAATATTTTTTCCCATTCTGTCAGTTGCCTCTTCACTTTCCTGACTGTTTCTTTTGCAGTACAGAAACTTCTCAATTTGATGCAATCCCAAATGTTAATTTTGGTTTTGACTGCCGGTGCTTCCGGGGTCTTTTCCAAGAAGTCTTTGCCGGTACCTATATCTTGCAGGGTTTCTCCAATGTTCTCTAATAATCTGATGGTGTCGGGTCATAGATTTAAGTCTTTAATCCATGTTGAGTGAATTTTTGTGTAAGGTGAAAGGTAGGGGTCTTGCTTCATGGTTATGCACGTGGAAATCCAATTTTCCCAGCACCATTTATTGAATAGACTGTCCTTACTCCAGGGATTGGTTTTGGATCCTTGATCAAATATGAGTTGGCTATAGATGTTTGGATTGATTTCTGGTGTTTCTATTCTGTTCCATTGGTTTATCCATCTGTTTCTGTACCAGTCATGCTGTTTTAATTATAACTGCTCTGTAATATGTCCTGAAATCTGGTATTGTGATGCCTCCAGCTTTGTTTTTGTTGTACAAGATTGCTTTAGCTATTCAAGGTCTCCTGTGTCTCCATATGAATTTCAGCATCATTTTTTCTAGATCTGAGAAGAAGGTCTTCGGTATCTTGATTGGTATTGCATTGAATGTATAAATTGCTTTTGGGAGAATGGACATTTTGAAGATATTAATTCTTCCAATCCATGAGCATGGAATATTTTTCCATTTTTTGGTATTCTCTTCTATTTCTTTCTTTAAGGTTTTGTAGTTTTCATCGTAGAGATCTTGAACGTCCTTGGTTAAGTTTATTCCAAGGTATTTGATTGTTTTGTGGCTATTGTGAATGGGATTGATCTTAGAAGTTCTTTCTCAACCATGGCATTGCCTGTGTATACAAAGGCTGTTGATTTTATATCCAGCTATTTTGCCAAACTCTTCTATGAGTTCCAATAGTCTCTTAGTAGAGTTCTTTGGGTCCCCTAATAAAGAATCATATCATCTGCAAAGAGGGGTAGTTTGAGTTCTTCCTTCCCAATTTGTATCCTTTTAATTTCTTTTTCTTGCCTAATAGCTCTGGCTAGAACTTCCAGAACTATATTGAATTGCAGTGGTGAGAGTGGGCATCCTTGTCTGGTACCAGATCTCAGTGGAAATGCTTCCAACTTTTCCCATTCAATAGGATGCTGGCTGTGGTTTTTTCATAAATTGCTTTGATTGTATTGAGGAATGTTCCTTCCATACCCAGTTTGCTTAGAGTTTTCATCATGAAAGGGTGTTGTATTTTATCAAATGCCTTCTTGGCGTCTATTGAGATAATCATATGGTTTTTCTTCTGCAGTCTGTTAATGTGGTGTATCACATTGATTGTTTTATGCACATTGAACCAGCCCTACATACCAGGGATTAATCCCACTTGGTCTGGGTGGATGATCTTTCTGATGTGTTGTTGCATTCTATTGGCCAGAATTTTATTGAGGATTTTTGCATCTATGTTCATCAGCGATATTGGTCTGTAATTCTCTTTCAATGCTGTATCTTTTTCCGGCTTAGGAATTAAGGTGATGCTGGCTTCATAGAAAGAATTTGGGAAGATTCCCTCTTCAGGCCATTAACATTCAATGTGACTACTCATAAGTAGTAACTTTGCCCTGCCATTTGCCAAAGATATTTTCTAATATATGTTTTGAACTTCCTGTGATCTTTTGGTGTGATTCCCTCTTTTCCTCTTGTTCTGAATAGTTTGAGAAGAATTGTAGTTAGTTCTTCTTTAAATGTATGGTAGAATTCAGCAGTGAATCCATCTGGTCCTGGGCTTTTCTTTGTTTGGAGGGCCTTTATTACTGTTTCAATTTCTGTCTCAGTTATGGGTCTGTTTAGGTTTTCTATGTCTTCCTGGTTCAATTTAGGTAGGTTGCATGTGTCCAGGAATCTGTCCATTTCTGATAGGTTTCCCTGTTTGCCGGCATACAGGTCCTTGTAGTAATTTCTGATGGTGCTTTTTATTTCTGTTGTGTTGTTGTTACCTTTCCTTTTTCATCTCTGATTTTATTGATTTGGGTTGGCACCCGCGGCTCCCACAGCTCCCGCGGCTCGGCTTCCACACGGTGGGCGACCTTGCTCTCCCCGTAGGTCCTCCGAGTCACATCCACTAGATCCGGAAGAGTTTCCTTTTTTCCTGATCCTTTTCCTGAGGCTACAGTAACTCCACTTTTATTAAACTATCTTTTCCCGGACTATCGGTGCGCGCCCTCACTATTCTGCCATCTTCAAAAACCCTTTTGTAATGATGATATTAGATAGCTTACTCAGAACTTCATGCAATTATTAAGTGTAATTCTAAGAATTGCACATGTATTAAGCTCATTTTAACCCTCACAATGTGTAAGGTAGGTAACATATTAGGAATATTATAGGAGAAGTTATTAAGTACAAGAAGTCCATGTGACTTGCCTAAACCCATACAGTTACTCAGCAGCAAACCCTGAATTAAACTCCGGTAATTCTAGTTCCTAGCCAGGTTTTAAAATGCAATATAAAAGTAGTATTTACTTCCAAGAGTTTTTAAAAGATAGGATAGCAGAAGAATCAATATTATTATTCTATTTAAGGCTATAACTTATAGGTGTGAATTTTGAAAATATCTTTCAAAATTATAAGACTTATATCCAGGCACATTTCAAAATCTACATTAGATAAACTAAAATGTATTTTTCTAAAGAAATTCATCAATAGGTATTTAACAATTTGTTAAACTGTTTATCCTTGCACTCAACAAATAATTGTTGAGCACATAAGAGATGTCAACATGGTTTGTACAGGGGAATGTAGTTTTTATTCCTTAGAACTTTATAATCCAAAAGTTACCATCTGTGATAGACTGTCAATTGGTTTACTCTTCTATCATTTACAAACAAAATCCTCTCCTTTCTCTCAGAAGATGAATTATTTTAGAGAACATTGAAAAGTCATAGATATTTTTCATGATGATACCAATAAACAACACTAATACGTAGAATAATTGAGGAATGATGAAATCCTATCCAGCATAGCTTAAGTGTTTCCATTTATCATTTCACAAATCTACAAAATCTATGATTAACTTTTAATTCATTGTTATGTTAAATTACATTATAATATCCATTTCCAGAGCAGATGTTTATCCTGGTAGTTAAGATGTCCACATCCCCCATTGGAGTGCCTGAATTTTATTCCTGGTTATGGCTCCTGCCTCCAGGTTCCTGCTAAAACAGACTCTGGGAGGCAGCAGAAATGGTTCAAGTAATTGGGCACACAGAAGACCTGGATTAGGGGCAGGCACTGTGGTGCAGCGGGTTAACGCTCTGGCCTGAAGCACCGGCATCCCATATGGGTGCCGGTTCGAGTCCTGGCTGCTCCACTTCCTATCCAGCTCTCTGCTGTGTCCTGGGAAAGCAGTAGAAGATGGCCCAACCTTGGACCCGTGCACCTGCGTGGGAGACCCGGAAGAAGCTCCTGGCTCCTGGTTTCAGATCAGCGCAGCTCTGGCTGTTGCGGCCAATTGGGGAGTGAACCATTGGATGGAAGACCTCTCTCTCTCTGCCTCTCCTCTCTCTGTGTATCTCTGACTTTCAAATAAGTAAATAAATTTTTTTTTAAAAAAGACTTGGATTAAATACCCTTTTTCACAACCCAGCCCTGGGTATAGCAGGCAGTCAGGGAGCCAACCAGGAAAGATGCTTCCTCGCTCTTTATATTTTCCTGTCTGTATCTCTATCTCTTTATGTATCTATGCCTCCTCCAAAAAATTAAATGAAAGAAAATTCAATGCTTGAACTGATTATGAATGAACCACCTCTCACCATAAAGCTGAACAGGAATAGAAGTTCTAGAAACAATTCTTTACTATAAATCTTTAAGACTGCATTTATCAAGCTTTTACATACTTAGAAATGCAAACAAAATCTAATTGAATATGTCCTAGATCATTTCCAGAAATATACAAGCACAATATAAATGCTTCCATATTAAAAGAAATAAAGAAGCTCTTTGAATTCTACATTCTTTTTCAGTGATCACCGATTTCTGTATTGCCTTTCTCAGAAAAAAATTCTTGATGTTGTCTAGATTTACCTTCCATCACAACCAAGTATTGAAACTGCTTCTTGTCAGGATTACTTATCCTCATCTTATCAACCTTTTAAGATCATTAGTAAAGATCAATGTTCTCTTGCTTTGGCCTGCAAAATACACTATTTTTTTTTTTTTAGAAAAAAGTAATCACCACTAACATTCCTTTGTTGAGAAATACTTTATAAATTTCACCTTGTTTCATCTTGATATACTTCATTTAAACTGTTGTCTTCATTCACTTGCAGTAGACCACTACCTAGTGAATTGGCCTTCTCCAATACTGTTGTGATTCCAGAGTCTTCAAAGGTCCATTTTTCATCTTTATTTTCACATACTTCCTTAATATGGGAGACAGGACCAGTCCTTCAAAAACCAGTTTAAAACAATGAATTATTTTAAATCTACTGGCAAAGGGAAAAAACAGCAATGCTTAGTAAAAATCCTACTCTTTACTAACTTAATTTATTTATTAATTAAAAATCCAGTTAGAATATATTAACTGTATATGAGAAAATGTAAATGAGGATTTCAAAAAGTTTGTGGGAAAACAGACTAGAAATGTATTTGCTATAAAACCATTTGAGAAGAGGTTCCAAGGTAGCAGTATAGCAACAGGACAATCTGAGTCACACAGGGCAAAATAGATAGTTAAAAAGGAGAGAAGATACACGCTGGAGATACAGCCATGGGAAATTCTCGATGGGAAGCCCAGGAGAGCAACAGAAACTGGGCAGGTTCACATTGAAAGAGCAAGTAAGAAAGGAAAGCAGTGGAGGCCCAGACCCGGGAGGTTGGTATCAGCCCTCAGCGGACCAGGTGAGATGGGAAATAGCGGGTCCATTGAGCTGCAAATAGCAGCAGAAGAGAGAGACTGGCAAACTGCTTTTGAAGTTCTATGCTGGAAAAAAGAGAAGGTATAGAGGAACAAACAGAGAGGTCAGGCACCCCACTGCCCACCTCCCTCCCCGTCTTGCCCCGTCAAATCAGTGATCACTGAAAAATGGCTGGGAGAAGCCATTTCATTTGTTCACATTTTCAAGCATAAGCAGGGGATTGCTGCTTTTGCCTCCCTAGCACACGCCCATCAATTGTGGGGGCCACCTCACCCCCTACCCAAGAACGAGGACCACAACATTTCAGAATGTCTTCCCCACCACACAAGCTGTACAACAAGAAGTCCTGAATATTGAAAACTCAAGCCCACTCCAGGCCGGCGCCATGGCTCACTAGGCTAATCCTCTGCCTTGCAGCGCCGGCACACCGGGTTCTAGTCCCGGTTGGGGCACCGAATTCTGTCCCGGTTGCCCCTCTTCCAGGCCAGCTCTCTGCTGTGGCCAGGGAGTGCAGTGGAGGATGGCCCAAGTGCTTGGGCCCTGCACCCCATGGGAGACCAGGATAAATACCTGGCTCCTGCCATTGGATCAGCGCGGTGCACCAGCTGCGGCGGCCATTGGAGGGTGAACCAACAGCAAAGGAAGACCTTTCTCTCTGTCTCTCTCTCTCACTGTCCACTCTGCCTGTCAAAAAAAAAAAAAAAAGTAAAAAAAAAAAAAAAAAAAACTCAAGCTCACTCCATCCACCAGTGAGAAGTGAGACAGGCTACATAGTAAGTGGGGCTCCCTGCACTGGTGCTCCTATCACCTCCACCACCATTGAAAAGTGAGCTGGGCTCCAGTAGGCAGGACTCTGTATTTCCACTGCAACACACAGAAACACAGCATCTCATAATAGAGCAAAACCTCACCACAAGAAAATCTCCACAGATTAGAGGTGCAGTTCTTTAAGCAGGGTGAACCCTGAGCTCATCAGAGACTAAAACTGGGGCGTCCCACAACTGTGAGGAAAAGGGTGGGTCATACCAATAGAATTGAACGACTTCCTCTAATCAAAAATCAAAGGAAAGCTACAAAGCCCCATGGGGCCTTACAATGGATACCCCCTCCACCCTGGACTACTGAACACAGCACCCAGGTCACATCCAGCACATACCTCTTGGAACTCATTGAAAGTATAGACATCTCACTAAATTACAAAGACACTGGAGAGGACTCCAGCAGCCAATAACCTACACATCAGCGTTGGAAAGAGAGGTGGGACCAGACCACAGCAGCCCAAGTCACTGGTGCTAAAGCTGCAGGAAGAGCCTGGAGGAGACCTGGCTTGGAGCCCCATGGGGATAGTGTATCTGCTAAACTAGAAGAGGAAAAAAAAAGGAGGGACACGTTTTTCTCTCTTTCTCTCTCCCTGATCACTTTACAACAGTGACCTGTAACAAGCCAATAGAGCGGGCACCATTTTGGATATATGTAACAGCTGTGCCAGCTCGTGTCTGCAACCAGCTGAGTGGACTCCTGACTCTGGTGGTGGGGAGAACTAACCGGGGGCTGGGAGCTCATGACTGTGGGAGGCTTCTGTGCTGGGACTGAAAAAAAAAAACTGAGGCTGTGTGGGAGGACTCACCATGTGGCTGGGAATTTGGGCAGTCACTGTGGCAAATTCTACATGCTCAGGGATCCATGGTTACCTGGTGAGGGACATTGTTGGTGAATCTGAACTTAACAGTGAGGACTGCACAGATCCTTTGTGTGGTCGTTGGGGCAGAGTAGACGAATATTATACACACTGGAGCTAGTGCTCAGGCACTGTTCTCTTTTAAGAGGAGCTCAATAAATTTCCCTTCTTAAAAACAAGAGGAGATTTATCACACTAAACCAGGGTGTGTCACCTCAGACACACCCTTCATCTTGGAGAACTGAATAGAGGTCCCTGGCCACACCCACTACAAGCTTCTAGATATTCACTGAAAGCAGACACTCCACTTATCCACAAAGGCATAGTACAAAGTTTAAAAGCCCCTCCCGGCAAAAAAAAAAAAATTTCCCCATTCTTTATACTTGTACATGCAAGCAAGCAAGCAAGCAAGCAACGACTTTCTCCACAAATGCCTAACAACAAACACAACAATCCAAGAAACAAGAATAAGGAAAACAACATGACACCCCAAAGAACACAACACTTCAATATTAGATTGTGAAGATGATGAGATGGACAAAATGTAAGAAATGGAATTCAAAAAATTGATCATAAGGTTACATAGAAGTAATCAAAAGCAAATGCATGAACTACTGAAAACCATTCAAGACATGAAAGAAAATTTCACCCATAAAATTGAGATCTTAAAGAGAAATCAAAATGAAATGAAGAATTCAATAGAAAAAATAAAAAATGCAGTGAAAGCTGTAAGAGAATCGGTGAAGCAGAAGAAAGAATATGGGACTTAGAAAACAAAGCACAGGAAATTATACAGTCAACCAAAAACAAGATAAGGAAAATAGAAAACTGAAAAAAACTGTTTGGAATCTACAGAATACTATAAAATGACCCAATATACAGATTCTAGGAGTTCCTGAAGGTGTGGAAAGAGAGAAAGAACTAGAAGGCCTTTTTACGGAAATAATAACAGAAAACTTCCCTAATTTGGAGAAAGAAAGGGATATCCAAGTAGAGGAAGCACATAGAACTCCTAATAGACATAACCAGAAAAGATCTTCACTAGAACACATTGTAATCAAACTCACCACAGTAAAACATAAAAAGATCCTAAAACGTGCATGAAAGAAATGCCAGATTACTTTCAGAGGATTTCCAATTAGACTCACAGCAGACTTCTCATTAGAAACCCTACAGGCTAGGAGAGAATTAGAGATATATTCCAAGTCTTAAGAGAGAAAAACATTCAACCCAGAATACTATACTGTGCAAAGCTCTCATTTATGAATGAAGGTGAAATAAAGACCTTCCATAACAAACAGAAATTGAAAGAATTTGTCACCTGTCCAGCACTACAGAAGATGCTTAAGGATGTGCTGCACACAGAAACACTGAAACATGGTTATCACTATGAAAGAAGGTAAAGGAAAAAAATCTCTCAGTAAAAGTTCAAAGGAAATTCAAAGTAAAAAATAGGAATATTTTTGGAAAAATGGCAAGGCAAAGTCATTACTTATCAATATTCACCTTGAATGTAAATGGCTTCAACTCTTCAGTTAAAAGACAGAGACTGGCTGAATGGATTAAAAAACAAAACCCATCTATTAGTTGCTTACAAGAAACACATCTCACCAACAAAGATGCACACAGATTGAAAGTGAAAGGATGGAAAAGATATTCCATGCCAACTGAAACCAAAAAAGAGCTGGTGTAGTCATCCTAATAAGAGACAAAATACTTTAACACAGAATCTGTCAAAAGAGACAAAGAAGGGCACTATATAATGATTAAGGGATGAATTCAACAGGAAGATATAACTATTATAAACATATATGCACCTAATTACAGGGCACCTGGCCTGGCTATTTACAAGAAATGTTAAGGGATCTAAAGGAAGACATAGACTCAATATAATAGCAATGAGGGACTTCAATACTCTACTTTCAGCAGTGGGCAGACCAACCAGACAGAAAATCAGCAAGAAAACAGATTTAATTGACACTATAGACCAATTGGACCTAATAGATATCTACAGAACTTTTCATCCTACAGTTGCAGAATGCACACTCTTGTCAGCAGTACATGGAATATTCTCTAGGACTGATCACATACAAGGCCATAAAGCAAGTCTCAGCAAATTCACAAAAATTGAAATCATACCATGCATCTCTTTGGACCACAATGGAATGAAGCTGGAAATCAGAAACTCAGGAATCTCTAGAACATATGCAAACATATGGAGACTGAACAACATGCTCCTTAATGAACAGAGGATCACAGGAGAAATCCAAAAATTTCTGGAAACAAATGAAAACAACAACACAGCATATCATACAGAAAAAGCAGTGTTAAGAAGAAAGTTTATAGCAATTGTTGCCTACAACAAGAAATTGGAAAGGCACCAAATAAATGACCTATCAGAGCATCTCAAGGATCTAGAAAAACAACAGCAAACCAAACCCAAAACTAGTAGGAGAAAAGAAATAATTAAAATTAGAGAAGAAATCAACAAAATTGAATAAAAAAATACAAAAGATCAGCATAAGAGTTGTTTTTTTAAATAAACAAAATTGACACATCATTTGCCTAGCTAACCAAAAAAAGGAGAAAGACCCAAATCAATAAAATTAGAGAGAAAAAGGAAATGTAAAAACAGCACAGAAATAAAAAGAATCATCAGAAATACTTACAAAGAGCTGAATGCCAGCAAACTGGAAAACCTGGAAGAAATGGATAGATTCCTGGACACATACAACCTACCTAAATTGAGCCTTGAAGACACAGAAAACCTAAACAGACCCATAACTAAGATGAAAATTGAATCAGTAACAGAGGCTATCCCCACAAAGAAAAGCCCAAGACCAGATGCCTTC